CAACACCACAAACTCATTTTTACTGTATTTTATTTACACTACCAGTCAAAGGTTATTGAAAAGTAAGATTTTTAATGTTTCTAAAAAGAAGTCTCTTCTGCTCACCAAGCCTGCATTTATTTGATCCAAATATTTGAAATTTGGTTATTTGAAATATTTTTACTATTTAAATAACTGTTTTGTATTTGAATATATTTTAAAATGTAATTTATTCCTGTGATCAAAGCTGAATTTTAGGATCATTACTCCAGTCACATGATCCTTCAGAAATCATCAGGGGCTGGTATGGTAAAAATCATGGTTTACAGTGCAGTACCACAATTGGATTGTTTTTTACAGGTAAAAAAATGTTTAAACTAAATGAAAATAAACTCTACAGTACTGATACTGTAAATGAAAATACGGTAATAATACTGTAAATAAAATACAGTAAAGACATTATTGTACTGTAAATGCAATTACAGTACTAATACTGTAAACATTTTTACAGTAAATTACTAGCATCCAGCTGCCAGTAAGTTACTGTAAAATTTACAGCAACCTACTTACAGTGCAGTTTTCCTGCAAGTTTAGCGGAATAATAGAATAATAGCCTTTCTCATATTCTGACATACTATATAAACCATTCTTACATGTAAGCAGTGTTGCTGTGTAAAATGTCTTGATGATATATCCGTCTATATTATAGCATGTTTTTTTTTTCACATGTTTGCCTGTTAATCAACATTCGTCATAGTCATATTTATTAACATGCAGGGAATATCATTATAAATAAATATACACTACTGTTCCAGCGTTTGGGGTAGGTTAGATTTTAATGTTTTAGAAACAAGTCTCTTGTTTCTAAGAGTCTCTAAGGCTGCATATATTTGATTTAACAAAAATCCAGTAAAACAATAATATTGTGACATAACATTGAAATTTAAAATAATTGACACAAAAAATAATCAGACTTTCCATAACCTTCCCAAATATGTGAAACAAGCTACATGCCAAAGTTCCCAATTTATGGTTAAGCACTTATTAAAATCCTTAACCATAAATATGGTTAATAGTACTAGTAAAGCACAACTAATAAAGAGTATGAACTGCAGTGCAGAACTGTTCTTTGATCCATTTCCTCTTTGATTAACAACTAAAATTTCTGTGCAAGCAAGTTCCTGTCATAATAATGAGAGATATTTCAAAGAAGCAAGCGAAACAATACACATTTTGTCAGAGCTCTCCAAAAACACATTTTGGAAGCCTCAGAGGGTAGAAGCTCGGAAGCTCCCAATCAAAACAAATAAAAGACTCCTCAGATGGAACAAGATGAGAGGGATGTTCCATCAGGCAGATTCCATGCCAGACCTTTATTAGTCTCTGACTCACCTCGACGCTGCTCGGTGGAGCCCAGCAAATAGCAGATTAAATACATGGAGGAATTAAAGAAAAGTCTGAATCAAAGGAGATAAAAGGAGTCTTGCTCTCCACATATTAACCATTTATCTCCGCCCCTGTTACCAAATCAGAATCTGCGGGGGTCTGCTGGGAAGGGCTCAGTGTTGCGTCCCACTGCGACATTTGAAAATTAGTCTGAGTGATTAATATTTCAGATCACTAAGAAAAGTTTTCAAGAAAGACCTAACATCTAGGACAAATTACAGTATTTAATGGGATTTATACTCCAGAAGACACAAGAATGACTGTCCTGTTCTCAATTAATATTCAGAAACTATCAAAAGCACACTTCTCCACAAATTTCCAGAAAATATGCAGTTCCCCTTCATGGGAACTTCGAACTGCGTCCTCTAGGGGTCGCTATGGGGAACGCCTCGTCGTGACCCGTGTCTGAAGCATACATTGAAAAAACACCAACTCGTTGGCCGGCGACAGCCATGACGTCACTACCGGTGCGACTATAGTATAAATAGGCGCCGGGAGCACACATCATTCTCTTCTTCGTCTTCATTGACTGTTCTGTTTGAAGCGTGCATTTCCAAGGAAAAAGTAAGAGCTATCTCTATTTATTATGGCGAGCACTAGCAGAGCATTTAGAAGGTGTGTGCATCCGTGTCATCGCTATTTGACACCAGATGACACACACGATCTATGTGTTGTTTGTTTGGGCGAAGAGCACGCACGCGATGTCCTCGAGGGGGCAATCTGCGTGCATTGCGAGTTTTTTCCAATGAAAAAGCTCCGTTCTCGTTTGTCTCTCTTTTCAAGTAAAGAGGGGCAGCCATCTGCTCCCCGCGGTTCAGGACCCGCTGCTGCTGAGGCACGGAGGAGAATGAGCTCGTGGGGATCTCAGGTGGACCTGGCCGATGAGTTTAGAGAGGGGCTTTCCTACTCGCGCTCATCGGCGGCGGGCGAGAGACAGCCGCTGAAGGATGATGTTCTTTCTTTGACATCATCTGATCCAGGGGCCAGTGCGTTCCCTACTCAGGGAACCATGGTTACATAAGTAACCTGAGACGTTCTTTATGTGAATATTTACTGCAACCAACATCAAATTGGCCACTGCTTCCCCACTATGCTACATTAAAAAGTGTGCATCCCAATGTCCTACTCTCTTCTGGCTCCCTATTCCCTCTCTTTCTCCTTCCCTTTTGGGAAAGATGACATGGGGCTTGGCGGGGAAAAATTATTGAGCAGTGCCGGGGCCTGCAGGGGAGAGATAGCCGAGCAAGTTTCATCACAGCTCTTAGGAGTCTTCATGCAATGAGGAACAGGCATGAGAGAAGATAGAGAGAGAAAGAAGGAGAGATACTGAGGAATGAGAGAGATGGTCAGGACATAAAAGGACACACATGCACCCAATCCTCCATAAAAGCCGTTTCATATGAACCTAAATGGTCTGAATTTGGTTAATATCCCATTCATTTTCATGAAAGTTTGGTTTTCATATTTTCTCTCTGCTTCCCGTTATTATTTTGGGGAATTGGGGATGATTTATTCCATATTTTAGGCATCAATTGTGTCAGTATTTCATCATGCCATTTTCATAAATTTTAGCCCATTTTACTAAAATGGCATTTTAGTCAACAAACAAACAAATAAATAAACATTTCAAAATGACAGTAGCAAATCAAGATTTAAATATATTTTCAAACATTTTTATTAATTATTATTATTTTTTATATATCGTATAGATATTGTATAGGATAGAT